GTGGGTGTTTTATAGATTATTGAAAATGATATATAGATTATCGGAAAAAATAGATAAAATGACAGTTGGATGACCAACAAAGACAACTGAAGACAATAGTTCGTCATTAGAAGTTATTTAGTACCGTATTTATTCGGAAAATTAATCTCAAAATCGGGTTGCCGTCCCCGGCGTTGTCAGTAACGTCGTATGATTTGTGTGCGATTTTTACTAATTAACCCCTAAGTAAAAAATAATTGAGCTATGTAGTACCTTGCAAATTAACCAGAAACCTAGTAGTTTGTTGATTGTTTATTCATAGTCATAGAGATTTGAAATGCGTGAGTGACTATACCAGTTAGCTGGGGGGGGGGGGTCCAAGCGGCAGGAAAACCACCCCCACCCGCTCCGACGATCTGAGCATTTTTAAGCTGTTTTAAAACGATTTCAGGGAGTGTTTGTTGATAATACAGGTACATAAGCAAAAATATTATTAATAAAGGCAATTTGAGTTTCAATGTTGGCGTGGGCCTATGTTATGTTATGTTATATTTGAGCACCCGAACTATGTAGACCTACACAAACATTTCATTACTGATCACTTTTTAGTCACTTGCATCACCGTTTTTATAGTTTTAATCAACCATTTCTTAAAATTTTAAATACATTTTCCCCTGAATTTGTGATAAATCGTTATCACGCATAGACTTGTGTTAGATGCGTGACAACTTTAGGATCACGCATGTGTTTCTGCAAAATGCATGTTTCATCCAAAATCACTTTAAAATGCGGGACCGTACCGCACGATGTGAGACGGTTGGTAACTGTGTTTATTGGTAGCGTCCCTTCGCTGCCAAAAATAGTTTTTTGGCAGTTGCGTCCCCAGTGTCATCATGAGGGTATGCTGAAGGCTGGTTGCGATTTGGTGGCACATCGATTGAGTATTTTCATTGCGCTAATTCGCAAAATAAGGTGATTTTAGGTGATTTATTAATACTTGACCATAATTTTTTAGGGGGAGGGTGCGAGTAATTTTCGGGGGGTGGGGGAGTAGATACTCCACTGATGTAAGTACAGATTCATGCTTATATTTCACACAATTTTATAGATTATGGTGATATAAATTTAATAATTAGACAAAGACCCTGCAAGTCTACTCATACACTTAAATTAGTGTAGAAAACTAAATGACGTCGATACGATGTTTCTTTTAAAAATAACAATTACGATGAATATTCTCAGAATTCGAAAATGCACGGAACTATTAGTATTTCATTCATATACAAGTAGTAAATAAGATGAAAGTATTATCGTGCATGATAGGAAACGTTCCCAACGTCAACACAACAAGAGAGGTACGTATGCGTCCCGATTGTCATGTGCAGTGCCGATAGCTCAGCCTGTCCTGCCACAATACAGGCGACTCAGGTGCTTTGAGTCTGCCACCAAGATTATATTTAATGTTTACACTACAATTGCATTCAACACTTAAGGTGATAAAGAATGGAAGGAGCATTGGTTCCCAACATGTCCGACTGTATAGTCGATAGTTCCTTGAATTATTTCTTGATTGTATTCCTGTTCACGCTTGGGCCGGGGGAAGGTCAATATTCAATCCAATGTAGTTACAGACTCACTGTAACCATGCTGTAACAATGGTTTATCAGTTGGTTGTTTCGATACTTCTGTTCAGCTTCAGTAGTCTGATTGAGGCTAAGAACACAATTATGGAAGAATTATCTGCGCTGGTGGGACAAACTTTTGGTGTTGACCTGTCTCTTATACACATCTAGATGTGTATAAGAGACAGACTTAAATTAGTGTAGAAAACTAAATGACATCGATACGATGTTTCTTTTAAAAAATAACAATTACGATGAATATTCTCAGAATTCGAAAATGCACGGAACTATTAGTATTTCATTCATATACAAGTACTAAATAGGATGAAAGTATTATCGTGCATGATAGGAAACGTTCCCAACGTCAACACAACAAGAGAGGTACGTATGCGTCCCGATTGTCATGTGCAGTGCAGATAGCTCAGCCTGTCCTGCCACAATACAGGCGACTCAGGTGCTTTGAGTCTGCCACCAAGATTATATATTTAATGTTTTTAGCCTTTTCAACTCACATTCAAATTGCCAAACACAGTTTGGAGAGTTGTAATAGTCATCTTGCATCAAGCGATGTCCTTCAGTTAGTGTTTGGAAACATCACCATCTATCGGTTTAACTTACTTTAGCACTCTACTCTCTAGCAATGTCTACAATAACAGGAGTAGAGAGAGGCTTGCAAAGTCAGTAAATTCGACTGAGAGGCTCAAAATGCAACTTTAAATCGACGTACTTATAAAAATGTAATAGGCACAATGATTTGTATTTAGAATAAATGCTTTAAACTGCATACACTGAATTGTGGTATAAAAAGAAACAACGAATGAAGAATATATTATAATAACCTGTGTGAAATAAATTTTGTGTGCGTTCACGCTTCATTGATCAAACCGGGTGACGGTTCAAATTTGTTAATAACGAGAGTTCCATTGTACCTTGATGTGGTAAAAAATAAACTAGGGTTTTCGATAGGGCTATCGGGCTGAATAACGTTGGCAACTAGTCTGGTTAGGAAGATATTCGACTACTAGGCCTACAAGAGAGTGAGAATGTGCTTATCAGCCCGGGTACTTGGAAACTGCTTGTTCCTTTGTGTACGTGACTTATATTCAATTGTGTTGAAGAAGATATATTCGGTGCTGGATTTACTCAGTTGTGTAAGTTTCTTTTTGGTAGAAGGCCTACACAAGGGCATTGCAGTCCCTTTGTCAACTAAAAATAGCTATTGTAGTAATTGTTAATATACAATTATGAACTTTAAAATAATTATATATAAAGCTATTTCTAATTAGCTTCCATTTTAAGTGATTTAAGTCTGACCAGTTATTTTGAAATTGTGGTGGATAAACAATAGGCTTATTATTTTGTGTTTTGTATGCTTACAGTTTGTCAAAGAACCAGGTTTAGATTTATTGTATTTGTACATGACCAAGTCAAAATACTTAAATAATGAATTAAACCTACATAAAATACGACAAAATATTGTGTTCAAAGGTAGCGTAACATAGACCCTATAGTAACTACATGATAGTAACTTTGGTACGGCATTTACACCTCCACTTGTGATAATGAAAGACTGCAGTATATGAACCGTTAGGCGTGTAGCTACATTTATCGGCCCTGGAATTCCACTTGTGATAATTAAAGACTATGAAATATTAGGCGTTTGTAGCTACATTTATCGGCCCTGGAATTCCGACACCCACTGTTGCAAATCATATCGTTGAATAGTCTCAAAACGAGACTTACAGGTATAAGAATTACTTTGCTATTAAAAATGGGTATACAGTACCGTGAAATTGATTTACACTACAATTGCATTCAACAATTTAAGGTGATAAAGAATGGAAGGAGCATTGGTTCCCAACATGTCCGACTGTATAGTCGATAGTTCCTTGAATTATTTCTTGATTGTATTCCTGTTCACGCTTGGGCCGGGGGAAGGTCAATATTCAATCCAATGTAGTTACAGACTCACTGTAACCATGCTGTAACAATGGTTTATCAGTTGGTTGTTTCGATACTTCTGTTCAGCTTCAGTAGTCTGATTGAGGCTAAGAACACAATTATGGAAGAATTATCTGCGCTGGTGGGACAAACTTTTGGTGTTGACTGTATCACTTGCCCGCTGAAACCAGGGAACAGTGAAATTATCACTGTTCCCTGGCTGAAACCAAGGAGTTGACAACCGTTAATTGGTGCGCTGTATTAAGCGCACTCTTATACACATCT